AGAGTTGGCGTTTGGATCTCCGGGTTCTCGGGAGCGGCTTCGGGGTTGTTCGCCTGACGGGCCGGGCTCTGTTCGCCTGACGGGTCGGGCTGTTCCGCTGAGCCGTTCGTGGAACGGACCTCCGGCGTTCGCCAGACGGGCCAGGCTGTTCCGACTGCGGGCGTTTCCCGGCAGACCGTGTGTGGGTTCGATCATAATTTCTGCCTTATTTTGGGAGGCCTTTTGGTGGCCTCTTGGGGTGTCTTGAACGAGTCGTGGGCCGTCTGGAAGCCGTCTTGGGTGTGCCATTGTGCCATCGCTAGCGTTTGGGGGCCTCTTTGGGGCCTCCGGGGGACCTCTTGGGGGCCTCTTGTGGGGTTCTCTTGGGGGCTCTTTGCGGCCTCTTGGAGCCTCCTGGGGGGTTCTTGGGGGCTTCTTGGGGCCTCCTGGGCGCTTCTTGGGGCCGAGGGCCCGAAATTTCAGTTCGGGCTCCCCGTCTGGCCCCCTCTTGGGGCCGTCCTGGGGATATCTTGGGCCGTCTTGGAGGCTTCTTGGGCCGTCTTGGGGTCCTCTTGGGCCTTCTTGGGGCTCTCATGGAAGCCTCTGGGGCCGTCTTGGGCCGATATTTGGGGCCTTCGGGCCGTCTTTGAGCGTCGGGAAGCCGAACATCTGAGAACGCCCATATCTTTCAAAAACCGAAGGGGGATCTATGGTTTTTGCCTCCTGGGGCCGCTTCGAGACGCTTCTTCGAGGTCTCTTTTGGGCGTCTTGGGGGTGTCTGCGGCCGTCTGGAGGCTATCTTGGGCGTCTTGGACCGATCGGTCGGCGATTCGGAGCCCTCTTGGACCGTGTTGGGGACTTTCGGGGCCCTCTAGGAGCGCTCTGTGGCGCCTGAAAACCGCGCCCAGAAGGAAAAACCATCTCTGGGTGGGACCGCCTGGGGTACTTTTCGTCTGGAGACCCCCAGGAGCCGCCCCGCGCGCGCGAACCAGAAATATGGTTTACCAGTCGGCAGAGATCTTAGCACGCCTCTGGTCCGTTAGGCCAGCGAATTTGGGGTTGCCTGAAGGCTTCTTTGGAGTAGCGTAGATACCAATACGGCGAGTCACTGTCTCCCCATACCGTTTGGCAGCGTCTGTGCGGCGGAGAGCTCGGCCACGCTATCGGACTGCGTGTCCCCCCAGCCGCTGTGGGAAACCTTCGAGGAACACTAGGGGGAGGACGAGAAAGAGGAAGAGGACGAGGGAGGAAACAGGAGAAGGAGGAGGAGGAGGAAGAGGAGGACGACGACGGCGACGCTGCCGATGATGCTGATGCTGATGCTACGGATGATGATGATGATGATGATGATGATGATGATGATGATGATGATGATGATGATGATGATGACGATGATGGTGATGATGAGGATGATGATGATGAAGATGGCGATGGCGATGACGATGATTTTGATGTTGCTGCTGATGATGATGATAATGATGATGATGATGCTGATGATTATGCTGGTGATGGTGGCAATGACGAGGATGATGATGAGTATGATGGTGATGCTGATGATGATGATGCTGATGATGATGATGACGATGATGATGATGATGATGATGATGATGAAGATGATGATGAAGATGAAGATGAAGATGAAGATGATGATGATGATGATGATGATGATGATGATGATGATGATGATGATGATGATGATGATGATGGATGATGATGATGATGATGATGATGATGATGATGATGATGATGATGATGATGATGATGATGATGATGATGATGGTGATGGTGATGGTGATGCTGATGCTGATGATGGTGATGATTATGATGATGGTGATGATGATGAAGAGGAGGAGGACGAGGAGGAGGAGGAGGAGGAGGAGGAGGAGGAGGAGGATGAGGAGGAGGAGGAGGCGGAGGAGAACTCGCGCGAGCTTTTGGGGCACTCTTGGGGCCTCCTGGGCGCCTCCTGGGGGCCTCTTGGTGGCCTCGTGTGGGCCTCGTTGGGTCTCTTGGGGGCTTTTTGAGGCTCATCGGGAGGCGTTTTGGCCGTCGGAGGGCGTTCCTGGCCAGTGTGACGCCGTCGGAAGCTGTCTTTGGGGCCCTCTTGGGGCGCTCCAGGGCCGTCTTGGAGGCCAGCGCGGGCGTGTTCGAGGTGTCCCTGGGCAGTTTTGGGGCCCTCTTGGGGCCGTTTTGGGGGCCTCTTGGGCTGCCAGCGGGCCATCTCGGATGCATCTTGGGCGCTTCTGGGGCCATCTTGGTGGCCTCTCGGGGCGTCCTCCGCCGTCAGGAAACCGAGACTCCTCAATGAATTTTTCAAACCCATAAGAACGTCATTGAGTTTGGCTCCTTCGGGCCTTCTTGGGGGCTTCTTGCGTCTCGCGCCATTGGAACATCTAAAACACACGGTTTCGCATTAAGGATTTTCCAAAAAGCCTGCGCTCGCGTTCTTGCATTCTCACAAAAAAACCATCGGACATTCAACCCTATACTATGCTACCAAACGGGCCTCTCGCGCGCGCACGTCGAATCCGTTCGAACGCCTTTGCGCGCGTGCTGTCGCAGCGAATGGGACGAGGTGCGCGCGCGTGCGTCGGCGCGTGCGCATGCGGAACTATTTTTAAAAAAAACACAGGCCTCGTAAAGGGTTCCAAAAATGAGTTTCCCGAAAACGTTGCAAAACACATGGTTTTGCAACATCGGCTTTCAGAAAAAATAGCCTGCGCGCGCGATCTTGCCATTCCTTAAGAACACCATCGGTTTTCGACATTGTCGTCACATTCTGCCAAGCGGGCCTCTCTCGCCGCATGTCGAAGTGCGCGCGTGCTGGGGAGGGGGCGCTATCCGTGTCACACATTATACCAAAAGAGCCACGCGCGCGATGGCCGCGCGTACATGTCGAACTCCTTTAGAACCTCTATTGCCGACGCGAGGACATCGTCATCGTTATTGGCGGGCGTGATCAACGTCGGCGCCGTCATTGTCCTTGCCGTCGTCATCGCCGCCATCGTCACCATCGCCGTTACTTTTATCACCGTGCCTGTCGTTGTCGGCGTCGCCATGATGCCGCGCCCGCCCAAATCACCGACTCGCACTGAAGTGCCCGCTGGGAAATGCCCAGCGGTCAGCGCCACTGCGGCCGCGTCGGTCTCGCCGCACTAGCAGGCCGCTGCGCGCGCGAACATGCGCGGGCTAGCGCGGCCGCAGAGATGCACTAGCCAACGCCAAGCGCTCATCGCAATCGCCGTCGCATGGGTTTTGCAAGCCAAGTTGCGGGTGACTGGGTGGGATGATTGCGCGAGCTGTGGAGTTGACAGCTCACGGCGTGCATTGATGAATTCTCTGTATTCAAAAGGAATCCGATTCTACCCCCATCACCCCCGGACGTATCAAGCTGGCCTCGTTCATTGCGGTTTATAATATGATTCTGCCTCCTTGTTCACCTTCCTTATGAATTCATACCGTCCCAGCCATGCCGGAGTTCGCCACCGCGCCACCCTACCCGCCCCCCTCGTCCTTGGCAAAAACAAAACATGCGCGCATACGTGTTTATCACACATCATCTTTTCAACCATACTTTGCAGAAGTGGGGGCGAAGTGTACACGCGCGCGTCGTCGCGCGCGCATGCCACAGTCATTCAAAAACCTACGGTTCATAAGGGTGTCAGAATCGAGAGTCACGGAAACAAGTATACCACATGGTTTCGCATCAGTGGTTTTCAACAAAACCAGCGCCAGCGCTCTTGCGAATTCTTCAGACAACCAATTGGTTGTTCAATATTTTCATAACATGCTATCAAGCGGGTCTCTCGCGCGCGCATGTCGACATCGCTCGAACGCCATTGCGCGTGTGCTGTCGCAAGAATCCCTTGCACCTGATGAGACGAGGTGCACTTGCGCGCGTCGGCGCGCGCGCGCATGCCGAAATCCTTCGGAAACCGTAGGTTTCACAAGGGATTTTTAAAAAGTGTGCACCGAAAACAGATCAAAACACATGGTTTTGTAACATCGGTTCTCACAAAAAACCTGCGCCCGCTGTCTTGCGCCTTCTTGGGAAAACTTTCGGTTTTCAGCATTTTCATCAAATGCTACCAAACGGGCCTTCCGCGCCGCATGTCGAACTCATTCGAACGTCCTTGCGCGCGTGCTATGGGGGGGGGTCACGAACGTGTCAAAGAATACCACGCGGGCCACTCGCGCGGGTCGGCCGCGCGCGCATATCGAACGCCTTCAGAAACCTTCATCGCCGACGCGAGCACATCGTCATCATTATTGGCGGGCGTGGTCAACATCGGTGCCGTCATGGGCCTTGCCGTCGTCATCGCCACCATCGTCACCATCATCGCTACTCTCATCATCGTGTCTACCGTTGCGGGCGTCTCCCTGATACCGCGTCCGCCCAAGTCACCGACTCGCATTGAAGTGCCCGCTGGGAAATGCCCACTGGTCAGCGCCACCGCGGCCGCGTCGGTCGCGCCGCACTAGCTGGTCGCTGTGCGCGTGAGCATGCGCGGGCTAGCGCGGCCGCAGAAATGCACCAGCCAACGCCAAACACTCATCGCAATCGACGCCGCATGGTTTTGTAAGCCAAGACGCGGATGAGTGGGTGGGATGTTTGCGAGAACGTGGAATTTGCCAACTCGTTTGTAGAACTGATTCCAACACACAGGTTGCACCACGTAGATTGCCCCTCGTATACTGTATTGCATCACTTAGAGTGCTCCAAATGTATTGCACCACGTATTTTGGTCCACAAATTTTCGACCGCATTTATTGCACAACGTGTATTGCCCCACCTAGGTTGCACAACGTACACGGCTAGCAGCAGTCTGTTTGGGGTCCGCGTTGGCTAGCATTGATGTATATGTTTTGCTTTGTTTGGTTTTGCATATATATATATATATATAGATATGTATGTTTTCGATGCTGCGACTTTGGCTGTTCAGTTAGCAGTGGCATGCGAATTGGACCTGGGAAACACTTTAGCAACAGCAGAAGACAACACACAAAAAACAAGACAGCAGGCCATCAGCAACCTTCACAGCCTTGCGCCCCCGAAGGGGTGGATTTCAAATCATGATAACCGTTGCAACATGTTTGGTCATGTCGGATCAAGCGTTCTTGCCTGCTCCCCGCCTCTCTCTGCGTTATGCCAGCGTCCGCATGGGACAGCCTGATTGTGAAGTGCGGGCCTTGCAAGGCGCCCGGGTGTCAGTACCGTGCCGTGCGCGGGTCCGAGTACTGCTGTCGGTACTGCCAGCACGCCGCCTGCCCCGACAGCGCCGACGTGGCCAGAGAATGTTGCCCGAGATCACCAGACGGCCACGAGCCAGAGTGCCCCCGGTTAAAGCGCTGCGTGCTGCAGAGGAGCTGGTGGGAGCTGTTCCAATGCGACCAATCCTACGACGAGGAGGCGGCCTGCCTAGTAGTACCGCCGGACAACTTCGAGAGCCTGAGTGCGCCATCGCCGGTGCTGCTTTTCCTGTCGGGCAACGGCCACGTCAACGACCGCGAGGACTTCTTGTGGGGTTGCGTGGACACTCTCCTGCGCAACCCAGAAGTCCAGTCTAAGTTCTTCGTCGTCGCGCCGAAGCCCACGACTAGCTGTGGTTTGCTGAGGTATACCGGCGACGGCTGGAAGAAATCATGGGCAGAGGACGCTGTGTGGGCCTTCTTCACCGAGGTACTCCGGAGGCTGGGGCCCTCACAGGTGGATCCCGCGCGGCTCTACTCCACTGGGCTTTCGCTCGGCGCCGCTGGCGTGTGGCACTTAGCTGTCACCTTCGGCCATTACATGGCGGCGGTGGCACCTATTTCAGGGGGTTGCGGGTGGCCTGGCAACTCGTGGCCAGAAGATGCTGGCCCGGATCCGATTGTGAAGGCGCGGTTGGAGGCGCTACCCATAAGGGCTTACCAGATCGACGTGGACACGCGGGCCGGCAACCCAGAAAGGGACATGACGTGGTTGTGCTGGGATGTAGAGGAAGAGAGGGCTGAGCTTTGCCTGCCTGGTGTGGACCCTGGGACGACCGTGGAGGTGAAGACGCGCTGCTGGCAGCGGCGAGCCGGCGCGCCCTGGGACCTCTGGATGCCAGTTGGTCCCCTGCAGGACCACAGCTTCTGGAGCAGGTGGGGCGGAGACAGCCACTGCCTGTGGACGCGAGTCTATCCCTTCCCCGAGTGGGGCCTGGCCGAGTTCCTCCTGCGGCACTCCACGCCGAAGGCGCGGCAGTGGCGCTTCGATGACCCCCCGCTGCTGGTGGACACCACGGAGCTCCGGCGGCAGCAGGAGGCCGCCTGGGCGGAGGAGGCGGCCGCGGGTCCGCAGGCGCGGGCGCGGGAGGCCGTGGGCGCTGACGGGGCGGCCGACGAGCACGACCACGCCGCGACGGGTCAGCCCCCGAGGCCGGTCGCGGCCAGCGAGGCCAAGAAGGCCCGCGTCGCGCAGGAGGCGCCGGAGGCCCTCGGCCCCGAGGCGGACGCGGCCAGGGCCGCGTGAGGCGCCCGCGCGGCGGGGCTGCGTGGCTGCGGCGGCGGGGGCGCGCCCTCCGCTGGCGGCAGCCAGGGCGTTCCCACTTCGAGGGCGGGCGGGGTGCCGTCCCGGAGATCTTGGCATCTCAAATCTTTCGAGCCGGCGCCGACTCCGACGCCGGCGCCGACGTCGACGCCGATGCCGACGCCGCCAGCCCAAGGCTCCGGTCGTGATTTTCCAGGAAGTTCCAATGTTTTAGCTGCGTCGGATCTCAGGGGTGGAGTCAGCGGGCAGGTCATGAGGAGGATGATGATGATGATGATGATGATGATGATGATGATGATGATGAGGAGGAGGAGGAGGAGGAGGAGGAGGAGGAGGAGGAGAGGAGGAGGAGGAGGAGGAGGGGAGGAAATGGAGGAGAAGAGGGAGGAGGAGGAGGAGGAGGAGGAGGAGGAGGAGGAGGAAGGAGAAGGAGGAGGATGAGATGGAGGAGGAGGAGGAGGAGGAGGTGGAGAGGGAGGAGGTGAGGAGGAGGAGGAGGAGGAGGAGGAGATGGACGATGGAGGGAGAGTGGAGATTGGAGGAGGAGTTGGAGGAGATGGGGAGGGAGGAGGAGGAGGAGGAGGAGGAGGAGGGAAGGAGGAGGAGGAGGAGGTGGAGGAGGAGGAGGGGCGGAGGAGGAGTATGGAGATGGAGATGGAGGAGCGAGGAGGAGGAGGAGGAGGAGGAGGAGGAGGAGGAGGAGGAGGAGGGGAGGTGGAGGCGGAGGAGGAGGAGGAGGAGGAGGAGGAGGAGGAGGAGGAGGAGGAGGAGGAGGAGGAGGGGGTTCCGCGCAAGCGGGGCTCAGCCAGAGCGTCGTATCCTGCAGAGTGCTGCGGTGTCAGATCTTGGCCGAGCCGGGCTCTGGAGTCGCCTGGCGGCCCTGGAGGTGGCCGTATATACATCTGGCCTTCACCGTGTTTGGGAAGCCCGCCCTGGCAGAAAACTGCGGCGCAGTTTCCCTAGCTGAGCCAGGGTAGTCCATGCCCGATTCGGGGAGACGTGCGATCCGAGTACGCCGGAGCTCGGGTTTTGCTGGCGCTTTCCGACGAGCGCGTCCTGGATTTTGACGGTCCAGTTTTCGTGGGGTGTCTGCAGTGGGAGGTGGCGTCAACTTTCAGGCTGGGTCTCGTCCTTTTCATGATGGCCCCCGTCAGGTCCGCCCGCGTCCCCCTGACCCGAGTCTCGCGTCTCCCCGACCGATGGCGGCGCGGGCAATCAGAACCGCTGGCCCGACGTCGAGCCTTCCTATTGGTCGTCACGAGTGGGACTTCGTCGCGCAGCCTGGCCACACATCGCTTTCTGCGTCACAGCAGGTGGCGCTCGTCGCCGAGCGCGGCGCGGCACCACCACCGGCACGCGAGGCTGGGCTGCGCACGTCTGGCCGGCGCGCCTCAGGGAGACATCGCCGCAGCCATCCGCGCCACCACCAGCGGTTCGGCGGCGAGCCCGTGGGGGAAGCGAGAGGGTTCGGTGGCGAATCGTGGGAGCCTGGCATACCCTCTTAATTCCGTCTGTAGCGTCGATTAGCGTCTGGGAGTCGATGAGGCAGCGCCGATTTGGCGTCGGTCAGCGTGGATATAGCGTCGATTTAGCTTCGAATAGCGCCGATTTCGTGTCGACTGGCGTCGATTCGAAAGATCCAACAAGAGGGTATGGGAGGCGCCCAGGAATTGCCACCGAAAGAAGGGGCGGGCCTTCTCAGAAGGCTCGGAAGTCCCCAGGCCTTCCGAGAAGTTCCTGAGCCTTCCCCCGAAGGCACAGAAAGCTCCTCAGAAGGCGCGAGGGCTTCTAAAAATAAAAGACAGAAGGCGCGAGGGCTTCTGAGCAGTCCCGCCGCCTCCCGAGAAGGCCCTCCTCCTCGCCTTCCCCCCCCCTTGGCTCGCCGCCGATCGGTGTCGTCGTCATCGTCAACATCGTCGCCGGAACTACCGCCGTCCTTTGCGCCTGCCTCCCTGCGCTCGTGCCTGGGCGTCGGGCTTGCCGATTCCGTCTCGTTCCCGTCGCCTGAGGAGGCCACCCGAGCCGGGCGTGGCTGTCTGGCCGGGTGGGGCCCGGTGCACCCTGGCAGGACAGGTCGGTTTCGTGTGGCGAGTCTTGCTGGTTCAGCCCTGGACTGTGTGATCTGGAGCCTCTGGCTGCCTGGGCCGGGTTTGGTCGGCTCAGCTCAGAGTGCGCCTCGGTGCCACTTCGAGTGTGCTCTGTGCAGTCTCCTGCGCTGCAGCCAGAGGTGGTGAGGAAGGAAGGGAAGGAGGATGACATGCCAGAGGGGGTCGAGACATTGCCCGCAGGATAGTGCTGGCGACCAGCGTCCTGGAGTGGCCAGAGGCCTTCGCACGTCAATGATCGTTGCTGCTCGGCGTCCACAAGTTCTTGAAGACACTTTGCTTCTGCTGCGTCCTCTTGCCATGTTCAGTCGCAGGCTTTCTATCATTCCAAGACCGCTGCCACTAGCCCCTAGAACACATGCCATACAACGACATACACCTGAGCCGAGGCCGTCCCATCGAACCCTCAGAAGCCAGACCGCCTTCTCATTCCACGTCCCGGGAAATCAACACCTCAACTGTACCGCCCCCCTGTGAGGCAGCCGCCTTCGGCTAGGCCCTCAGTGGGGCTGGTCTGGTAGACACTTCATGCTTGCATCATGGGTGGGTTCGTGGCATCATCCAGCACCCGGTCCACTGTTGCCACCAATGTGCTGAGATTGTACGCGTCGCGCACCCTAGCTCCTCACCCTCTGGCCCTCCTACGAAGCACGGGCGAGGCAGGAGTTTTGTTCATGCGTCTCTTTGTCTCCTCTTGGGCTTACAGTTTCCTTTCTCTTGGGGCAATCCCTTTCTCACTGTCCGCCTATCTGTCGGTCTGTCTGTCTTTCTGTCTGTCTGTCTGTCTGTCTGTCTGTCTGTCTGTCTGTCTGTCTGTCTGTCTGTCTGTCTGTCTGTCTCTCTCTCTCTCTCTGTTTCTCTGTCTCCCTTTGCGCATCGCTCTGCTAGCTGAAGAGGACAGGGGGGGCTCTGACCAAACAGGGACGTTTGGGATTACACTTGCTTTGACGAGGGACTTTCCCCTGACTGGCTACTCTGGGTTTTCACGTTGCACCCCTTAGTAATCAGAAGTTTTGGATTCGTCTCGAGCGCTATGGACCTCGCCTGTTCCCACACCGTCTTTTCTATGGGCGAGGCTCCACCAGCGCTGCGCCAGAGGAAAGGACCCCATGGGCGTACGCGTACTTTGGAACATCTTCGCGGACCGTCTGCTGATTGCTTCGGGATTGCGAGGTCGTCGGGCTTCTCATAATCTGTGCCAAGTTTTGCCCTCGACCTTCCAAGATCGGGGGGGCAGATAGTCGAACGCTTCTTGCCCGTGTCGGGCCAGCAACGGCTTCCGGAGGCCTCCTGAGACCTCGGGTGACCTTTAGGGACCTGCCTGGGTCAGGACCCTGGGCGGGAGCAAGACTGATCCACCATCTCAGAGGCCGCAGCCCTCCCTCTTTCTGCCTAGACATCCTTCATTACGTGTCCGTCGCCGTCGTCGTCGTCGTCGTCGTCGTCGTCGTCGTCGTCGTCGTCGTCGTCGTCGTCGTCGTCGTTTGTCGTTGTCGTCGTTTGTCGTTGTCGTCGTTTGTCGTTGTCGTTGTCGTTGCCGTCGTCGTCGTCGTTGGTGGCTCTTCTGTCTTTTACCAGACCTCGTTCTCCCCTTCGCGGGGACGCGCGCGATGGCGACCTTGAGAACCCCAGAGGGATCCAGAATTCGGCGTCGCGGCGCCCAGGGGGGGAGGGACAGGCCTTCTCAGAGGGCGGCTGAGCCTCCCAAAAGCCCTGCGGCCTCCAGGGAAGTTCCCTGTTCCCTCGGGGAAGGCTGATGACATCTCTCAGAACGCCCGAAGCTTCCCGAGCCTTCCGAGAAGGCCCGCCCCTTCTCACTCCCCCCTGGACTCGCCGCCGATAGAATCCCTCGTCGTCGTCGTCGTCGTCGTCGTTGTCATCGTCGTGTCGTGTCGCTTGTTGTCCTCGCCGTCCTCCTGTGCCTTGGTCGCCGTCATCGTCGGTGGCTCTTTTTGTCTTTTCCTGGACCTTGTGCTCCCCTTCGTGGGGACGCGCGCAAGGCCGACTTGGGATCCCGGAGCGTCCCAGAAATCCCTCGTCGCGAAGATGTCGAGCCGGCTTTAAATCGGGACTAGGCCCGTGGGCGGGGGGGAGGAGAGATGAGGGGGTGCGGCGGGGGGGCGTTTGTGTGGGGGAAGGTGGAAGAGGCTAAAAGAGTGATAAAAATGTGTGCGGGGGTAGTGAGGGGTGGTGGGGTGTGGGCTTTGTGGGCCGGGGGTGGGGCTGGGGGGTTCGGGGTTGCTGGTCCGGTTGGGGTGGGTGTTTTTTTTATGTTTTTTTGTTTTACTTCTTTCACATTTTTTTTTTTTTTTGTGTCTTCTTTTTTTTTTTTCTTTTTTTCCTTTTTTGCTTTTATTTTTTTTTTGTCTTTTTTGTTTTTTTTTCATTTTCGAATATTTTGGACTATTTTTTTAATTTTTCTTCGAAAATTCCCCCTGTAGGGGGACAGGCCCGACTTAAAGCTGGCTGGCCGTCCCCCCAGGACCTGGAGGGCCGCCGGGCCTCCTCGCGCACCGCCCTTCTCCCCGTGCGGGAGAAGCGCCAGTCGTCGGGGGGGTGACTCGGGGCGCTCTCCCCGCCCAGCGGCGCGAGCATCACCATCATATCAATTCACGTCTACATCACTCTCGTGTCGTACAGCGGAGCATCTGATGCAGAGACCTCCTCCCGAAAAGCTTGGCTAGCGTATCTCGACCGACTGACCGGAAAGCTGGCCCAGTTTCTTGAGCGCGTTGGCCCCTTTCTTTGATTCTTTTTTATCTCTTGTTTTATGTGTTTTTTTTTTTTTTTTTTTTTGCTTTTTTTTTTTTTTTTTTTTTTTTTTTTTTTTTTTTTTTCTTTTTTTTCTTTTCTTCTGTTTTGTTATGTTTTTTCCTTGTGTCTTTTTTTTTCGTTTTTTTCTTCAGCGTTGACTCGAACATTTGGCTCGTCTCAAGAAACTTCTGGAAAGTTGGCCCAGGTCTCTCAAACGATAATTTTCTTGATCATGTTCTTGGCTGTAGTGTGCACCTGCTTCTCATCAAATGGGGGATGAGGGCGGCCTTCCGAACAGGCAGTCGCGCAGGGCGGTCCCAGGGTCGAGAAGGCGCAAGCATGGATTGATGTCTAGGCCTCCCCGATGGGGTCCGAGTTGATGGGGTCGGAGGATCGCGCCGCATCGCCGACGCATCGGCGTTGCGGCTCGATGTGGAGCCCGATTTTCTCCGCGCCGACGTCGCCGATGCATCGCCGATGCATCGACGATGCCTCGCCGATGCATCGCCGATGCATCGACGATGCGGCGCGATCCTCTGACCCCATCTACTCCGACCCCATCTAGAGGCGCCTAAGTGGGGGATCTACAAACATGGATTTACCCCAGCGTTGCTTTTGCCGTCGAGCTCGGCGGCAGGAGAAGGCCTTCTCAGAGGGCGGCGGGCCTTCTCGGCAACCCTCCGGCCTTCTGAGAAGTTTTCTGTGTCTTTGCGGAAGGCTTCGAAATCTTCCCCAAAAGGCCCCGGGGCTTCCGAGCCTTCTGAGAAGGTCCGCCTCTTCTCACTTCCTCCCTGGGCCCGCCGCCGAAAAGTTGACTTTGTTGTCGAACCCATGATAAACAAGTAGAACTCTCGTGGACCCACGAACACTCTACGCATCTCTTGTAGACTCGACGCGAGCATCCATTTTGGGGTGACTTGATTCTGCAGTCGATCCCCTGCTTGACGCGTCGGTGTTTGGGCTCTGATGTCGCCCGGGGTGGCCGCCTGCCAGAGTCCTCTTGCGCCGCAGGGCCTGCGCTCAGATCCCCCTTTCCGATCCTGGCCGGGCCAGGATCGGTTCAGCTGGGGACCCAGGCATCCGACGATGTGTTTTTTGAAGTGCGGCCCCAGGGGTACCTTGCCCTTCGCCCAGGGTGTTTTTTCGTTCTGGATCCTTCTTTGATGCAGGGGCCGACATCGAGGAACACTGCCCAGACTGAATAAGTCAGACTGGCTGAGATCTGGGCAATGAGCTGGCCCTAGGTGTACTCTCCCCTTTCGCCCCGTCGTTCGTTCCCCCCTCTTGTCCTCGTCGTCGTCGTCGTCGTCGTCGTCGTCGTCGTAGTCCTCCGGATCTTGCAGGCCGGGGCGGGGCTAACCCTGTGCCGCGGCGCCCTGGCAGCGCGCGTGTAAGAGCGTCCCAGCTGAGGAGGAGGAGTGGCGAGACGTGGTGATTGAAGCGCGCTCTCCGAGTTGGGCTTCGACCGTCAATTCAGGCTAGTTGTCATGGCGCCCAGCCCCTATCAGCCGACAAGGCTCGTGACTGGAAAAAAGATCAGTGACCGAAAGCGTGCCCGAAAACGTAGAGTGACCGATGGCACAGGTTCGGACTCTACACCCCCCTGATGGAGACGAGGCTACGTGATAGTTGGCAAACTCCAATCTCGTCGGCGTCACCCCAACATACTAATACTATGTGTGCGTCGCCCCCCCAAGGGGCGACGCGCGCATCGAGAACTCTTACAGTATATGCGAGGTGGCGGGCGCTTTCTGGCCACACCGCCCGGGAAACGATATACTACAAGATGGGTATACCACTTGTTCGGATCGGACGCGCGCCTCCAAGGAGGACATCTAGTACCAGCATGTTTTTCTGCGTCCCATCTTGGCGATGCAACTCAGGGGAGGTCAAATTCTGTTTTCGCCCTGGTCCGAAATCCGGCTTAATCCACCTTAATCCTGCTTACTCCGGCTTAATCCCGCTCAATCCCGCTTAATCCGGTTTAATCCTGCTTCGTCCGAGGCCCACTCCGGCGTAACAGCTCCCAGATGGGCTTAATCCTCCTTAATCTTTCCGACGAAAACCTCCCAGTAGTTGCCTCCTAACCACCCTCGGCGCTTACCAAACAGCCCTGCCCTGCTTGATTCCCTCTCCGGGTGCGTTTACCAAACGGCTTCGCGTGTCCGGGTGGTTATCATCGGGGTGGATTGTCTGCCCTCTGATCTAGTTCGGGGGCGGCAAAGAGGGGGGTGATGACTAGGGGTGTGTGGATATCATGGCGGGGGCTCTGATATCTCCTCAGATTTCGTGGCGCCTCTTCCCATTCCATTACGTCCCTGGCCCCCCCGCTGGGCCGCGCACGTGCCGCCGGTCATGATTTGCACCCCCCCCCTCTTGGACACCGCCCTCTTGGCCGCTCCCGACTAGTGCCAGCATGCCTCTCTGCGTCCCTCCTCGGGGCACCGCCGCCCCCTGGGGCCGCTCCGCAGCCTCCGTGCCCAGAAGCCCCCCGGCGCCTCCCGCCCCCCGGAGCCCGTCCCCCTGCAGGGCGAGGGGCGAGCGGGGCGCCCTCTCCAGCCCGCCACGGGCCGCTCGTGCCGCCACGGGTCGTCGTCGCCGTCGTCGCCGCCGTCGCCGTCGCCGTCGTCGTCGTCGTCGCCGTCGCCGTCGCCGTCGCCGTCGCCGTCGCCGCCGCCGCCGTCGTCGTCGCCGTCGTCGTCGTCGTCGTCGCCGTCGCCGTCGCTGTTGTCGTCGCCGTCGTCGTCGCTGTTGTCGTCGTCGTCGTCGTCGTCGTCGTCGTCGTCGTCGTCGTCGTAGTGTTCGATGTGTTCGGGCGTGTCGGGGTTCTCTCGTCGCCGCGGCCGGAGGCGGCTCGCCAAGCTGGACAGGGCAGGCCATGGGAGGGGTCTGGGAGCCTTCCGGGGATTCGAGGGCGAGGGCGTGGGCGGCCTTCCGAGAAGGCAAGGGGTGCCTCACAGGTGGGCGCGGGCGCCTCCAGGGTGGCGCACTGGAAGTCTGGGAGGGCGCCTCCGAGGAGCCCCCCGCCTTCGGAGAGGCCCGTTCCCTCGCCCTGCCAGGGAGGTCTTCCAAGGACCAGGAGGGGAAACAAAAAACACAGGCACAATTAATCGTCGATTCTCAAGAAACTTTGGGAAAACATGGGAAGTGGGGGGAAGACAAAAACCCAGAAGATATGGGAAACATTGGGGAATCTTGTTAATTGTGTGCATCTATGTGTGTGTGTGTGTGTGTGTGTGTGTGTGTGTGTCCCAGGGCCCCTTTAAAGGAGCCCCCCGTCTTCAGAGAAGCCAGCCCCCCCGCCCTGCAACCGACCAGAGTCCTCCGAAGACTGGTCCCCGGACCCCGCCCGGGGCCTATCCTGCCTAGGTTTTCGAGCCGCGTCCAGCCGCGGCGACCAGAAAACCCTAACACGCCCGCAAACATCGAACACTACTACTACGACGACGACGACGACGCAGCCCCAGGAGTGCACAGCAACTTTGATAACGGTTGCTGCGAAGACGACGACGCTTCACGACCTTGCTGCGCGCTGCCAATCGTGGATGTCGGACGCTGTGCAGGCGGCGGCCTCCGCCGCGCCGGAGGCGCTGTTCCCTGGCCTCGCCCGCCCGGAGCTCCTCGCGGTGCGGCGCACCTGTCGCGGTTGGCGAGACGCCGTGCGGCGGCCGCTGGCAGCTGAGCTGGTGGAGGCCGCCGCCGCGGCGGCGGGCGCCGCCGTCGCGCACGAGGGGCGCCGTCTCCGCATCGTCGGGGCGCTGCGGGGGCTGGCGGCGGTCTCCGTGGCCCACGTGGACCCCTTGACCTCGAGGCTGCTGGCCGGCTTCCTCCGGGACGGCGAGGACGAGGTGCGCGAGGCTGCCGCGTCCGCGATGGGGCGGGCCACGGAGGGGATGCAAGACCTCTTGGGGCGCATGGCCGTGGCCTGCCTCGTGCCCGCGCTCGCGGACCAGAGCGCCCGCGTCTCTGCCGCGGCGGCTCGGGCGCTGCCGCGCCTGGTGGCACGGGGGGACCAGGCAGCGTCGAGGGCCGCCTGCGCGCACCTCCGGCAGCACGCAGACCCGTGCGTGCGGCGCAACGCCCTCAGCGTGCTGGCGGAGGTTGTCGGCGGCGAAATCCGAACCCTACCCTCGCCTCCCATCGATTCAGGAGAATCGATGGTTGGTGGGGGTAGGGTTCGGACGTCGCCACCTAGGTGGGCAGCCGCGGCGACCAGGACCTCGTCGCGGCCGTCTGCGCCGCCGCCCAGGGGGACAGCGACTGGCGCGTGCGCGCGCAGGCGGCCCGCGCCCTGCCCCGCCTGGCGGAGCGCGGCGACGCCGCGGCCCTGGCGGCGCTGGAGGCGGCGCTGCAGGACCCGAGCGCCGCCGTGCGGGCGGTGGCCGCAGGCGCCGTCGTGCACGTCGCGGAGCAGCCCTCGGCCCCGTTCCTGGCGGCGGTCGCCGCGCAGTGGAGCCCGGCGCACCGCTCGCGGAAGCGCGCGGCCCACGCCTCCGCAGCCTCGCCGGCGCCCACGCCTCCGCCGGCCGCGAGGCGCCGGGCCGCCGCGGAGACCTCGACGCCGCCGGCGCCCGTCGCGCCGTCGCCCCGCCGTTCGCGCGCCCCAGGCTCGGCGGGCAGCAAGGGCACCAGCGGCCCGAGCGGCAGCGGCCAGGGCCGCGGCTTCACGGGGGCGTCGGGCAAGGCGGCCGTGGCGAGGCGGGCGCCGCAGGCGCGCCGCGCGCGCCACGCGGCAGGGGCGCCCGCGGCAGCGGGCATCTACAGGCGCGAGCGCTGAGGCGCCGCAGGCGAGGGGGGCGCGGGAGCGCCTCTGCTACGGCAGCAGCAGAGGCCCGTCGCGCCTCTCCAGGCCTGTGTTGGCCAGTGTGCGGCGGCCAGCTTGGCGCGCTGCAGTGCGTCGGGCCGCGGCGCGGCCACCTGCCAGGCGCGGCGGCGCAGTGACGGGCTCGGCAGGCGGAGGAGGGGCTGCTTGTCACCGCCCACCAAACCACCCCGAGCCAACCCGAAGGCTCCAATGTGTCCTCCATTCCCAGTGTGGGGGGGGCGTCGGGGAACATTGACAAAGAGACATGTGGACCCCGTATCCCCCCCAAACCGACATTGGTGTCTTCAGATTAGGTTGGGGTGGTCTGGTAGGCAGTCAGCTCGGGCAGAGGGAAGGTGCTGGCACCGCGTGTCACCGTTGATGGCATGTCCTGCTCCCTGCGCGGCTTCTCTTCGTCTGCGAGGGGCGTGCCCCAAGTGTCGCGACGCGGGCCCCCTAGAGTAGCAGCCATGAGCCATGGAATTGAAGATGGCGGCTTTTGCGACATCGTGGTTTCCACCGGCTGGCAGAGGCTGCCGAGTCACTTGCACGGAGATGGGATTTTTGGGTCGCAGTATAGTGTTGCATATGAGTCGTGCTTTGACTATGTGTGCATAGTCTAGATAGGTGTATCGGTGTTTGCAGCGATTGAGCTGTCTGTGAGCCGTTCCGACAGCGAGCGCACCTGCGCAGATGCAGCTGCGTCGGCTACGTGTAGTCGTCAAGAGCAGCCCAGCGTGTGCAGCCTCGTCGCCAGGGGTCGGGGTTGGAGTCGGCGTGAAAAGAAGCTAGCCTGGCCTCCACTTGCTCCCAGATCGATGCATTTTTATTGTTGCTGTCGTTGTTGCTGCTGCTGTTGCTGTTGTTGTTGTTGTTGTTGTTGTTGTTGTTGTTGTTGTTGTTGTTGTTGTTGTTGAACATTATTAATTCTAAAGAATAATTATTGTTGGGCCCCCTGGTGCGCGCCCCCCCTGCGCCGCCTAGGCCGCAGCTACATTTTCATCATTTTCGTGAGGAAGCCTCAGGTAAAACGATGTGATCCAGATCCGGTTGTTTTGTTGTAATCCGTTTTCCCTTGCAAAAAACACTATAAAATGACATTTCTTGTTCTAATATAATCAAATTTCAAGAATCCCTTGCAAAAAATAAGGTAAAGTGGACATTCGCGCGCGCAAGACGAAATCCTTCCAAAAGCTTAGTGTTCGGAGCGATTTTAACATAAAAACATCAAAAAACCAATGGTTTTTCAACAAAAAAATGTCAAAATCTCATCCCGCGCGCTCTTGCGGATTCGTAGGAAACCCAACACTTTTTAAACATTTCTGTCAAACGGGCTTTTGCGAGCAACTTTTTCGAACTTCTGCGACAACGGTTGCGCACCTGCCAGGGCCATCATCCCTGTCAAATAATACCATGCGGGACACATTCGTTTTTTCTTCGCGCGCGCACGCCGAAATCTCCAAAAACCATTGGGCTTCTTAAGAATTTTAGCACCGCGCATCATAAAATCAACATCGGAACAACCATCGGGACAACCATCGGGACAATCATCGGGACAGTCATCGGGACAACGATCGGGACAAGCACAACCATCAGGACAACCATCGGGACAATCATCGGGACAACGATCGGGACAACCACAACCATCAGGACAACCATCGGGACAACCATCGAGACAACCATCGGGACAACCATATCCTCTCTCTCTTGTGTATTCCCACATCCCTCAGGAATTTGCCCTAAAGATGTGATCAACTATCTTGTGAGTACGTATCATGTGTATCATGTGTATCATGTACCATATGCATCATATGCAACAGATGTTCTGTGGAAGGCTTAACAACTTCTGTGGGTTAACAAGGCTTAACAACTTCTGTGGGTGTACGAACGTAGGCTTAACAACTTCTGTGGGTGTGTACTCCACGCCAGTGTAGTAGCCACGGTCGTCCGCAGGCCACGAAGTGAAGTGTCCGAACGTCATAGGGCGGGAAGCTGGGTGTGGGTGGTGGCGAAGAGTCGTGTGGATATTTGGTAGAGCTTGCACTGCCCCCCCACAAAGTGGGGGTATTGGCTGGCGTCGCATGAAAACCCTGGCACTGGTGAGAACACTGAGCGTTCGGGTAAAGTGATTGTTGTTGTTGTTGTTGCTGCTGCTGCTGCTGCTGCTGTTGTTGTGGTTGTTCCTTTTGTTGTTGCTGTTATTGTTGTTGTTGTTGCTGTTGTTGTTGTTGTTGTTGTTGTGGTTGTTGTTGTTGTTGTTGCTGCTGTTGTTGTTTTTGTTGTTGTGATTGTTGTGATTGTTGTGATTGCTGCTGTTGTTGTTGTTGTTGTGGTTGTTGTTGTTGTTGTTGTTGTTGTGTTGTGTTGTTGTTGTTGTTGTTGTTGTTGTTGTTGTTGTTGTTGTTGTTGTTGTTGTTGTTGATGTTGTTGTTGTTGTTGTTGTTGTTGTTGCTAATGTTGAGCTCTCAATATTGAAGAACAATTCTTGTGGATCACGCCCTCTGGCAATCATTGTGTTGTTTCAATTGAAGTGCCCCCCCTAGGTCTCGCACCCTGTTTTGTATCAGGGGAATTGCTCGGCTCAAACTGCGCTGTTGGCCCCCAGATTACAACAACAACAACGACTCCCGCCTGAGACTTCCTCACAATTTAGCCAGGACCCCCGCTCCCGCCTGAGACTTCTTCGCGTTTTACTCAGGCATCGCTCTCTCGCTTGGGATTTCTTTATAATTTATACAGGAATCGTTCTTTCGGCGCTCTGGAGTCGCGCTCTCGCTGGAGACTTGCTTGCAATGTACTCAAGTATCGCGCTCTTGCGTTGGAATTCACCGCAATTTACTCAATCGCCGCGCTCCCGACACTCAGGCACCCAGGAGTCGCGCTCACTCTTAGGACTCCCTTACAGCTTGCTTAGAAATCGGGATCCCGCTGCCCTTCGTGGCCCCGTTGCAGCCCTTCGTGGCCCCCTCTCTGCCCTTCGTGGACCCGTTGCAGCCCTTCGTGGCTCCATCGCTGCCCTTCGTGGCCCCGTTGCAGCCCTTCGTGGCCCCCTCGCTGCCCTTTGTGGCCCCGTTGCACTTCTTCGTGGCCCCTTCGCTGCCCTTCGTGGCCCCGTTGCACTTCTTCGTGGCCCTCTCGCTGCCCTTCGTGGCCCCGTTGCACTTCTTCGTGGCCCCCTCGCTGCCCATCGTGGCCCCACATATGTATGCCCTTCGTGGCCCCCGCTCGTTCGCGCCCGTCGTGGCCCCATCTGCATGCGCTTCGTGGCCCCGCTGTCGCCCTTCGCGGCTCCCTCGCTGCCCTTCGTGGCCCCGTTGCTGCCCTCAATGTCCCCGTCCTTGCCCTCTGCGGCTCAATCTACGTCTGCCCTTCGTGGCCCCCGCTCGTTCGCGCCCGTCGTGGCCCCATCTGCATGCGCTTCGTGGCCCCGCTGTCGCCTTTTGTGGCCCCCTCGCTGTCCTATGTGGCCCCGTTGCTACCCTCAGTGGCCCCGTCGTTGCCGTCTGTGGCCCCGCATTATCTGCCCTTCGTGGCCCCCGCTCGTTCGCGCTCTTCGTGGCCCGATACGAATGCCCTTCGTGGCCCTACTGTTGCCCTCCGTGGCCCCCTTCGTGCCCTTCGTGGCCCCACTGTCGCTCTCGCTCTCGCTCTCGCTCTCGCTTTCGCTCGTCGTCGTCGTCGTCGTCGTCGCCGTTGTCGTCGTCGTCGTCGTCGTCGGTCCCCTGTCCATACCTCTTGGGGTCGGGTTGCCGCCGATCAGCGCTGCCGCTGGCCAGGCCGACGGTCCGCGGCCGCCCCGCCGCTTGCCGGGGCCCGGCCTCAGGGAAGAAGCACATACCCCCCAAAAGGGGTACCATCGAAGATGAAGAGGGCGGGTATCGAGGATTTGGCAAACACGCGTTGACTGACACTCGAGCAGATAAGAGCGAACAGTCTTTATTTTTGTTGTTGTTGTTGTTGTCGTTGTCGTTGTCGTCGTCGTTGTCGATGTTGTTCTTGTGGTTGTTATTGTTGTTGTCGTCGTTGTTGTTGTTGTTGTTGTTGTTGTTGTTGTTGCTGTTGTCGTCGTCGTTGTTGTTGTTGCTGTTGTTGTTGTGGTTGTCGTTGTTGTTGTTGTTGTTGTTGTTGTTGTTGTTGTTGTTGTTGTTGTTGTTGTTGTTGTTGTTTTTGTTTTGTTTTTGTTTGTTGTTGCTGTTGCTGTTGTTGAACTTCATTTCAGAAGAATAATTATTGTTGATCCCCCCCGTCTGGTGCACACTGTTACAACAGCAACGGCTCCCGCCTGATACTTCCTCACAATTTATTGAAGAATCGCGCTCTCGCTTTGGACTTCCTTGCAATTTACCACCGGATCGCGGCTCCCAATCGCGCTGTCGCTTGGGACTTCCTCGCAACTTACCACCGAATCGCGGCTCCCGCTTGATATTTCTTTACAATTTATCCAGATGCCGCTCCTCGACACGCAGGAATCGCGCTCCCGCTACATATTGCCTGGCGTTTCAAGCAGACGCTTCAACGACCCGCCCGCTCGACCCGCCCGTCTGGGCCTGCCCGCCCGACCAGCCCGTTAGGGACTGCAGTTGCCGCTCGCTGCCCTTCGCCCGCCTTCGAAACCCCTCGCTGCCCGTACTGGTTCCGCGGTCGCCTTTGTTCGCTGCCCTTCGTGGCCCCGTTGCTGCCCTTCGTGACAGGGAATGAACATACCCCCCAAAAGGGGGTACGATCGAAGACGAAGAGGGCGGTTATCCAGGGTTTGGGATATGCATATTGAATGACACGCGAGCAGATAAGAGCGAACAGTCTTAAAATGGTTGTTGTTGTTGTTGTCATTGTTGTTGTTGTGTTGTTGTTATTGTTGTTGTTTCTGTTGCTGTTGCTGTTGCTGTTGTTGCTGTTGTTGTTGTTGTTGTTGTTGTTGTTGTTGTTGTTTTTTGTTTGTTTGTTTGTTTGTTTGTTTGTTTGTTTGTCTGTTT